GTGGAATGTCAGGAAAGTTCCAAGTACACTGTAGTGAAAGGTTTATCTTTCTTATTAAGCTAAAAATTAAATGCTTAAAAATCGTTGAATGCTAACTTCGAAGCAGTATTCAATCTGTGATCATCATTTGCGCTTTGAAAAAACGGTCATGAACCAAAAGAACGATGATTCGATAAAATCGAGCCAAGGAACTTCCAGTATATAAAAAAAAGAGAAACAAAGTCCATATTTGTCCTGGCCCACACTGTGGACGGTAGATTATTTAAACTGTCTAATAGTTCTCAAGAAAACTAGAGCAAATTTCTCATTAATTATTCTTGTATTATTCATGAATAAGAAATGAAATAGAGTGATCCTAAGGGTCTTCATTGCAAATACATTTTGACAGTCGGTAAAAATAATCATAAAACAGCTGACACAATCCCTCTTCGTGTCATTGGTTTCTGGTTCGCTAGCTGCGATATATTCTCTAAGACCTCCCATGCAAACTTGTCTTCCTCTGTATTCCACTTGAGGCCACAAGCACTCTCTGTAGGAAGTCATTCAAGCGCTAGATTAGCTACAGATTTGGCTCTTTCAGACTCTGGGATTGCAGCCAGCACTTCTGTATCATTACTTTACCACTTTTTTATGCGAAAACCGTCTTTCTCAAACAACCTGCGCAGTTGACTTACCCAACTTACTGCTCTCTCTCTGGCACTTGCCAACTTCATCATGACATCCACATATATGTTGCGCTTCATTGTCGCTTCTACTTTTGTATCAAACCCATCCTGATTCAACTGTGCTGTCTTCCTAAGACAGCAATTAGGAACGCTTGGTGAAGATATAGCACCAAATAGATGTTTCACCATTCGATACTCTTCTGTTTTCTTTGTTAGGTCCCCATTCGGCCACCATAAAAATACTTTTAGAGTTAAAAAGTGTCTCAATCTTTTGGGTCCACCAGGAATTGGTGAAACATTGCTTCTATGTCAGCAACTACTGACGATGTTTGTCCCAACTTTGTTGCACAATGACGAACCACCCTCACCTTGCCGGGCTTCAAGGGATGCGTTACTGTGTGGTGAGGGAGCTACTACACTGGTTTATTCTTTGTGTTTAACTCTTATACAGAAACTCTTTCTGGTCAGATGACTGATTTTTTTATCACGAGTATGATTACAGACTGAATTGGACGAAACAAAGTCTTATTAACGATTAATCATACAAATTACAATTTCTGAGAAAAGAAGAATAGCTAGGTTACGAAGGAAAAGAAAAAAATTTGCATTAAAACATTGAAAAAGGAAGCGTAAATTGTTTAATTGTTTGGTTGGTTGATTTAAACTACAACTTTGAATGCGTTTGACTTATTGAACTGTTCGTTAACAAACTTTTTGGATAACCAATTTGTCCGATAACAATTGAGCAAGTGAATAAGTGGAAAATGGAAGATTTTAAGCTAATCATAATCGAGAAAATTGTAATTTTTACCATTGATAATGGTAATAGGGCCAAGTGGAATCCAATTTGATATGCAATCATATTATTACAGAAAAATATATAATATGATTACAGAAAAAATTGGAGGATACGAAGTCCTGTTACCAATAAATCATAAGCATTACAATTTCCGAAAATAAAAAAAAACCTTTAGGACAAACACCTCTGGTAGTGACAATGTGTAAAATGAAAAAAATACCCCGTTTTTGGAAATTCCCTCACCTTTTTTTTGGGGTGAGTGATTGTTTGCTATAGTTATGGTTGATTATGGTTGTTGATTGGTAGATTTAGCTGAGTTGAGTTCGGTTGATTGGCTGCTTCAACTGCCCGAGTACAGGTGTCTAATTGCAACCAACTTTCCGATTACACCGTCCGATTACAACTGTACAGAATGATTAGTGAAAAATAAAGCAGCTAATGCACCAGTCACACTTGAGGAAATTGTAATGGTTATGATTAATAATATAATCAGTCGTGTCGTGGATCACCACACTTACTTTTTAGTTTAAAGAAACCCAAAATGTATCCTTGCCATTAAATTGGTCACAATGCGCTATTACGCCATACAATAAACCCACATTTAATATCTGAAGATTTTCTCCGCGCTTTTCGTTCTATTTCTGACAAACTCACGGTTAAATGCCACCATTAATTAGATAAGAGAAGAATTGCAATTTTTATTAGTTCCTTCACGTCATCGGACAAACTGTTCAAGTGTTATTTTAATATAGACTGAGTGCTAACAAAAAAGGTTAGGCTTTTTTAAAAAGATGATAAACGAAGAGAATCATATTAAATGGTTTTAATATCTTAGCATGCCCTCACGATGTTTAAAAAGTTTTTGTCTTGGTCCATTAATTAAAAAAGGTCACTGTAAGGGTTGGCCGGCTCACCGAATAGTTTGGAACGTTGGGAAAATTCCCGACTGTCATTATTTTTTGCCGTTTCACTTTCAAAGTAATACTCAAGAGGGGATACCCAAAACAGAAGTGATGTGGATACGGAAGACATGGGGATTCCCAAAACACAGTGACAGCCCAAGTTTCGGAATGTTGGAAAAGTCAAATTTTTTGTTGTTTCAAAGGATCAGCTATATAGTCAACACGTTAGAAACTACGATTAAATATCGTTTTTAGGTACTCGGGTTTTATCACTTATAATTATTTAGTCACTCTAAAGAAGTGAGGCTCTCATGGGAAAGCCTAATCAATGCTTTTCCGATTTTTATGTTTGCGTGTCACATTGTGAAGAATCGAAACTGCAGAAACTAAGGGTTTTGACAATTCCACGATTAATTTTTTTGAAAAAGGAAATCTATTTAATACACTGCTGATATCATAGAATAATCGCGGTGTAAGAGTGCGTTGTTCTCTAGTGGTCGTAACTCACATAAGTAATTAACTTCACCTCGTTTACTTTTTGTTAAAGAGCCAAAATCTTACGTAAGAAGATAAGTCAGCCTATGACGCTGAAAGCTCACCGAGAAAGATGAGGTATTTTCTGTGAGGAACAGAACGTTACTTGACTTATCTAATATAATCTTGTCATAGTGTAATTGATCAGTAAGCTTACTCTTCAGATGGATGTAGGCTTCGAACCTCTACCATTAATTTGTTTCGATTCCTTTGTTAGGCTATACAATAAACCCAAACAACTTTGGTTAAAAATATGGAGATTTTCCTGGTGCTATTTAAGTAACTCATGGTTTATCCCTGCATAAAAGTGAGAAAAAGAGGATTACAATCTGTTTACTTCCGTCACGTTATCAGACAAACTTTTGTAAATTAGATAACTGCCAAAATTTTTAACCAAAACATTCGTCGATATTTTAAAAGATCAAAAACGTGCAAAATCGTATTGTGTGGTTCTAACATCAGTCAAAATTTTTTGAAAGTTTTTGATGTCTTCCGTGTAACAAAACACGTAAAAATCATGGCATGGGTTTGCCTCATTACTGAGGGAAGATTAAGAATGTAGGAAGAAGTGCCGACTGATTTTCACTTTTTTCTTGTCGTTTCCCTTTCAAAAGTATCAGCTACGAGGTCAAAAATATTATAAGTCTATTGTTTTTTAGAGTAACTTGGTGGCAACTTTAGCTTTAACTATAGTCCTTTCCTGTCCTATGGCTATTAAGTCATGTTACGTTGTGCAAAAATCGCCACCAGATGACAAGTATTCATCACAAAGCGGGACTTCGTCAAACCTCTGCAGCCTCACATCTTGTTCATCATTCTAATCAGCTAAGGATAGACTTGTTTTCAGTGACATTCATCTGACAAGTAAGCTCGTTAGGTTATTGTCTGCTACAACAATATTTTAAATGTTGCATGCCATATTGCAGAAGGTCAGCAAATCTTCCAGACGGTTGTGGCAGAAAGTTATCTTTCTTGTTAGCCTGAAGATTGAAACACTTAAAACTCGTATGCATGTCGCTTGATACCAAGAGACTTCATTGTAAACACGTTCTTTACGGCTGGTAGAAATGCAGATGGATTATAGTGATATTGTAGACCACTCTTTGCTGGTTTGTTGGCGGAATACTGGCAATACAACATCATTGATTCCTTAAGATTATCAAACGGTCCAATAAAGGGCTAACGCTCGAGACGTCAGCTTCAGAAACTTATTACAATGGCCAAATTACATTTTCGAATTAGTTGATAAAGCCATTTTATTTTAATTGACGTTGTTCATAGAAACTGCATGAAGAACTTTGAAGTTCTCATAGAAAAAGTTGAGATAATTGCTGTTTTGTTTATCTTTTTCATGTGAATTTTAAGTCATGTCATGTTGTGCAAAAATCACAACTTAAGTAAAATAAAAGGTGACAAATCGAGTTTGTCAAACCATTGGCACCTCAAATCTTGGCAATCATCCTCATCAGTTACGAATAGATTCGTTTTCACCCGTATACTTCAGATAAATAAACTCATTACTTGGTGATAAACTGCTAGAACAACATTTTTAAATGTTCCCGGAACGTTGTAGTAAAAGGTTTATCGATCCTTCCTGTTTTTTTTTTAAGAAACCCGCGACCTTTCAAAAACCCCCTAATTGATGGCACGACCCTCCGACACACGACCATCGGTCAAACTCAACGGAGAGTCATTTTTTTTTTACTTGATAGGATTAACAAAACAAAACAGCTAGATCAAAAATAACTTGAATAACAGTTGACTTTGACAGCATGACAGTCGAAGAGTCCGTTTTAAAAAAAAAACTGTGCAGGTCAAATTAAATTTAGAATTTCACCGAATGTGACCCGTGAATGTCCTCCAGTTGTACTTATCCATGCCTCTTCGTCACTTATTTTTTTGTTTTAAGTCTATATTTTGACTTCTAACACTTTTAGCTCGTTACAAAGGTTTCTAGGTGTAATCAACTCAGCCCGTTTTTGTAACTTCGCATATGGGTTCCCTTTTGTAGTGAATCATTACAAATCCAGACTATCGAATCATTTGGTTAATTTGTGTCACTAAAAAGAAATGTTTGCCTAAAAACAGGAGAGGATGCCAATGAACCTTAGAGCAGAAGACATGATAGCTTTCATGAACATCGCCAGACAAGTTGCCCTTTTCCTGCTCAACTCAGATCGTATTCAGAAAGCCATTGAGATATGCAACGAATGTTTGACTTTGCTAAACAACACTAATCAAAACAGCAAAGACCAAATAGAAAAGACCTATTCCGTTCTTTTCAGCGCTTATCGACGTAGCTCTGACTACCTCAATGCGGAAAGATACGGAAGGAAACTGCTTGTCTTATACAGCGAGTCTAGTGACTTAGTAAAAGAGGGAGATGTAAGCATGGCTCTTGCAGAGATTTTTGAGAGTCAAAACAGGTTTACAGATGCCAAAGAACTTTACGAAAAAGCAGTTAATATAAGGAGAAAAACTGATGATAAAATGGGAGAAGCAAGTACGTGCGCAAGATTCGGAACTATGTATCATAAACTTGGCGAAAACCTAAAAGCGAAGGAGTATGTTGAGAGAGCCCTCGCCATAAGAAAAGAAATTAACGACAGAAGAGGAGAGGCATCATGTTATGAGGACCTAGGTAATGTGTTTCGGTCTCTCAGGCAATACGAGAAAGCTAAAGAGTTTCTCGAAAAAGCGCTTGTCGTCAAGTCAAAAATTGGCGACAGAAGAGAAGAAGCATCATGTTATGAAAGCCTAGGTGATGTGTTTCTGTCTCTTGGGCAATACGGTCAGGCTAAACAGTATCTCCAGAAAGCGCTTGTCATGATATCAGAAATTGGCGACCAAAGAAGAGAAGCATCATGCTATAAAAACCTAGGTAGTGTGTTTAGATCTCTCGGGCAATACGACAAGGCTAAAAGGGATCTCCAAAAAGCGCTTGACATCAGCACTAAAATTGACGACAGAGGAGGAGAGGCGGCTAGCTACGGAGACCTAGGTACTGTGTTTCATTCGCTCGGGCAATACGACAAGGCTAAAAAGGATCTCCAAACAGCGCTTGACATCAGCACTAAAATTGGCGACAGAGGAGGAGAGGCGGCAAGCTACGGAAACCTAGGTACTGTGTTTCATTCGCTCGGGCAATACGACAAGGCTAAGAAGTATCTCCAAAAAGCGCTTGACATTAGAACTGAAATTGGCGACAGAGAAGGAGAGGCAAAAGCCTACGGAAGCCTAGGTACTGTGTTTCATTCGCTCGGGCAATACGACAAGGCTGAGGAGTATCTCCAAAAAGCGCTTGACATTAGAACTGTTATTGGCGACAGAGGAGGAGAGGCGGCTAACTACAGAAACCTAGGTACTGTGTTTATGTCCCTCGGACAATACCACAAAGCTAAAGAGTATCTCCAAAAAGCGTTAGTAATCAGCACTGAAATTGGCGACAGAAAGGGAGAAGCATCAAGTTATGGAAACCTAGGTAATGTGTCTAAGTATCTCGGGCACTACAAGGAGGCTAAAGACTACCTCCAAAAAGGGTTTCTCATCAGAATTGAAATTGGTGACAGAAAAGGAGAGGCATCTGACCAAAGAAACCTAGGTACTGTTCATCAGTTGCTCGGAAAGTATTACACAGCTAACAGGTATCTTGAAAAAGCACTTTCCATCAAATCAAAAATTGGTGACAAAAAAGGAGAAGCATCATGTTACGGAAACCTAGGTACTGTGTTTCATTCACTCGGGCAATACGACAAGGCTAAGGAGTATCTTCAAAAAGCGCTTGACATTAGAATTGAAATTGGCGACAGAAGAGGAGAGGCAGCTAGCTATGCAAACCTAGGTACTGTGTTTCTTTCGCTCGGGCAATACGACAAGGCTGAGGAGTATCTCCAAAAAGCACTTGACATTAGAACTGAAATTGGCGACAAAGGAGGAGAGGCGGCTAGCTACAGAGACCTAGGTAATGTGTTTCATTCGTTCGGGCGATACACCAGGGCTGAGGAGTATCTCCAAAAAGCGCTTGACATCAGCACTAAAATTGGCGACAGAGGAGGAGAGGCGGCTAGCTGCGGAAACCTAGGTACTGTGTTTCGTTCGCTCGGGCAATACGTCAAGGCTGAGGAGTATCTCAAAGAAGCGCTTATCATAAGAACTGAAATTGGCGACAGAGGAGGAGAGGCGGCTAGCTACGGAGACCTAGGTACTGTGCTTCATTCGCTTGGGCAATACGACAAGGCTGAGGAGTATCTCCAAAAAGCACTTGATATTAGAACTGAAATTGGCGACAAAGGAGGAGAGGCGGCTAGCTACGGAGACCTAGGTACTGTGTTTCATTCGCTCGGGCAATACGACAAGGCTGAGGAGTATCTCCAAAAAGCACTTGACATTAAAACTGAAATTGGCGACAAAGGAGGAGAGGCGGCTAGCTACAGAGACCTAGGTAATGTGTTTCATTCGTTCGGGCGATACACCAGGGCTGAGGAGTATCTCCAAAAAGCGCTTGACATCAGCACTAAAATTGGCGACAGAGGAGGAGAGGCGGCTAGCTGCGGAAACCCTAGGTACTGTGTTTCGTTCGCTCGGGCAATACGTCAAGGCTGAGGAGTATCTCAAAGAAGCGCTTATCATAAGAACTGAAATTGGCGACAGAGGAGGAGAGGCGGCTAGCTACGGAGACCTAGGTACTGTGCTTCATTCGCTTGGGCAATACGACAAGGCTGAGGAGTATCTCCAAAAAGCACTTGATATTAGAACTGAAATTGGCGACAAAGGAGGAGAGGCGGCTAGCTACGGAGACCTAGGTACTGTGTTTCATTCGCTCGGGCAATACGACAAGGCTAAGGAGTATCTCCAAAAAGCGCTTCACATCAGAACTGAAATTGGCGACAAAGGAGGAGAGGCGGCTAGCTACGGAGACCTAGGTACTGTGTTTCATTCGCTCGGGCAATACGACAAGGCTAAGGAGTATCTCCAAAAGCACTTGGCATTAGAACTGAAATTGGCGACAAAGGAGGAGAGGCGGCTAGCTACAGAGACCTAGGTAATGTGTTTCATTCGCTCGGGCGATACGCCAAGGCTGAGGAGTATCTCCAAAAAGCGCTTGACATCAGCACTAAAATTGGCGACAGAGGAGGAGAGGCGGCTAGCTGCGGAAACCTAGGTACTGTGTTTCGTTCGCTCGGGCAATACGACAAGGCTGAGGAGTATCTCCAAAAAGCGCTTGACATCAGCACTAAAATTGGCGACAGAGGAGGAGAGGCGGCTAGCTGCGGAAACCTAGGTACTGTGTTTCATTCGCTTGGGCAATACGACAAGGCTGAGGAGTATCTCCAAAAAGCACTTGATATTAGAACTGAAATTGGCGACAAAGGAGGAGAGGCGGCTAGCTACGGAGACCTAGGTACTGTGTTTCATTCGCTCGGGCAATACGACAAGGCTAAGGAGTATCTCCAAAAAGCGCTTCACATCAGAACTGAAATTGGCGACAAAGGAGGAGAGGCGGCTAGCTACGGAGACCTAGGTACTGTGTTTCATTCGCTCGGGCAATACGACAAGGCTAAGGAGTATCTCCAAAAAGCACTTGGCATTAGAACTGAAATTGGCGACAAAGGAGGAGAGGCGGCTAGCTACAGAGACCTAGGTAATGTGTTTCATTCGCTCGGGCGATACGCCAGGGCTGAGGGGTATCTCCAAAAAGCGCTTGACATCAGCACTAAAATTGGCGACAGAGGAGGAGAGGCGGCTAGCTGCGGAAACCTAGGTACTGTGTTTCGTTCGCTCGGGCAATACGACAAGGCTGAGGAGTATCTCCAAAAAGCGCTCGACATCAGCACTAAAATTGGCGACAGAGGAGGAGAGGCGGCTAGCTGCGGAAACCTAGGTACTGTGTTTCGTTCGCTCGGGCAATACGTCAAGGCTGAGGAGTATCTCAAAGAAGCGCTTATCATAAGAACTGAAATTGGCGACAGAGGAGGAGAGGCGGCTAGCTACGGAGACCTAGGTACTGTGTTTCTTTCGCTCGGGCAATACGTCAAGGCTGAGGAGTATCTCAAAGAAGCGCTTATCATAAGAACTGAAATTGGCGACAAAGGAGGAGAGGCGGCTAGCTGCGGAAACCTAGGTACTGTGTTTCGTTCGCTCGGGCAATACGTCAAGGCTGAGGAGTATCTCAAAGAAGCGCTTATCATAAGAACTGAAATTGGCGACAGAGGAGGAGAGGCGGCTAGCTACGGAGACCTAGGTACTGTGTTTCTTTCGCTCGGGCAATACGTCAAGGCTGAGGAGTATCTCAAAGAAGCGCTTATCATAAGAACTGAAATTGGCGACAAAGGAGGAGAGGCGGCTAGCTGCGGAAACCTAGGTACTGTGTTTCGTTCGCTCGGGCAATACGTCAAGGCTGAGGAGTATCTCAAAGAAGCGCTTATCATAAGAACTGAAATTGGCGACAGAGGAGGAGAGGCGGCTAGCTACGGAGACCTAGGTACTGTGTTTCTTTCGCTCGGGCAATACGTCAAGGCTGAGGAGTATCTCAAAGAAGCGCTTATCATAAGAACTGAAATTGGCGACAAAGGAGGAGAGGCGGCTAGCTACAGAGACCTAGGTAATGTGTTTCATTCGCTCGGGCGATACGCCAGGGCTGAGAAGTATCTCCAAAAAGCGCTTGACATCAGCACTAAAATTGGCGACAGAGGAGGAGAGGCGGCTAGCTGCGGAAACCTAGGTACTGTGTTTCATTCGGTCGGGCAATACGACAAGGCTAAGGAGTATCTTCAAAAAGCGCTGGTTATCAGAACTGAGATTGGCGATAAGGAAGGGGAAGCAGCAGACCTTAAAAACCTTGGAATTGTGTCTAGAACTATTGGAGATTATGAATCTTCGGAAGTATGCCTGGAGAAAGCTTTATTCATATCCAGAGATATTGGACACAGAAGAAGAGCGTTCGAAATTCTTCTAGAGTGCGCCAATTTGTATTTATTGCAGAAGAAAATCAAAGACTCCGTTTCGTGTCTTCATCTGTGCATTGAAAAGTATGAGGAGCTGAGATACTTCTTGGGCGCCAATGATGAGTTCAAAACATCATTTCTGGAGGACTCAGGAATATTTCCCTACAAGCTGCTTTGTACTTTGCTTTGTGACACCGGAAAAACTTGGGATGCTCTTTATGTTGAGGAGTTGGGTCGAGCTAGAAGCCTATCAGACTTAATGGCAGAGAAGTACTCGGTTGAAACGCACATCTCTGCTAATCCACAATCTTGGTTTGGCATTGAGTACATTTTAAGAAAGAAAAATAACTGTACTTGTCTGTACATTTCTTATTTTCAGAATCGTCTGCATTTGTGGATCTTGAAAACAAGTGGAGTCCTTCACTATAGAAGAGTATCACCAGAAGAGAATCTAGTTCAGGCTGGGTTACCCAAAGATTTGACTTTGAGTCAATTTTTGGATGATAATTTCTGGAGTCTTGGTATTTTGCCCACTAACGATTGTGAAGATCGGTCTTTAAATACGATTGAATTGCAAGCTCTCTCCCCTACGCAAAAGAGCTCAGCAAGATTGCGACTCGCGGAGGACGAGGACGAGGACGAGTACGATAAAGTGATTTCAAGTCTATACTTGTGTTACAAAATGTTCATTGCCCCCGTTTATGATTTGCTTGTGGAGCCTGAAGTCATTATTGTTCCTGAACGCAATTTGTACAAAGTTCCCTTCGCTGCCCTCAGTGAAAAGGAGGGAGCCGAATACCTGTCGGAGACTCATAGGATCCGTATCATTCCTTCTTTGACGACACTCAGGATTATTCAAGATAGTCCAGAGGACTATCACAGCAACACTGGTGCCTTGATAATAGGAAATCCCAAGGTTGATTGGCTGCAGCCATTGCCAGGTGCAAGAAAGGAAGCGGAGAGGGTCGGACGACTGGTGGGCGTTCCGCCTCTGTTGGAAGAGAAAGCAACGAAGCAGGCGGTACTTGAGCGGATAAGTTCAGTGAGCCTGATACATTTTGCTGCCCATGGTGACGCGTTAAGAGGAGAAATTGCACTCTCCCCCATTCCTTATCCCAACAGTCAAAACGTTACGCCACCGAAGGAAGCTTACATGTTGACGATGGCTGATGTCTCACGAGTGAAAGTCAGAGCTAAACTGGTGGTACTTAGCTGCTGTCACAGTGGAAGTGGAGAGATAAGAGCCGAAGGAGTTATAGGAATTGCCCGTGCGTTCTTAGGATCTGGTGCACGCTCGGTATTGGTTGCACTGTGGGCCATTCCAGACTCAGCAACAGAGAAGCTGATGAGTCGGTTCTACGAACGCCTCATTGAAGGAGAAAGTGCCAGTGAATCCCTTCATCAGGCCATGAAGTGGATGAGAAAAAACGGCTTGAACCAAATTTCTGAGTGGGCTTCGTTTACGCTGATTGGAGATGATGTGAGACTCGAGTTTGACAAGCAGAGGTAAGACTCCGTGAGAACAGGTATTTCATAAATTAAAGTTAAGTTGGCTATGACTTACTGGTCGTTGACTGGATGGGGATCCTTTGTTACCTTGAGTATCAGGCTAGTTTAATGTATATATATATGTACATAAATATAAATATATATATACGAAATTCTGGAGAAGTGGATGAGAAAAAATGGCTTGAACAATAATATTATAAAATATATATAATATATATAAATTATAATAATATTATATATATGTACATAAATATAAATATATACATATACTGTTGTTTCTATCTCCGCTCTCTGGTGTAAAGTAAAGAATCTCACAGATGCCTCTCAGCCAATGAGATACATATTATTTTCATATATCGTGCTTGGTGTAATTGTGTTTGCTTTATATCCAAAATATTAATTGAGGTAATAATAAATTGGGTTATTTCAATTTTTTTCTTGCAGGAAAAAAGACCCGATAGAGTAAATAATGACAAGTACTCGAAGGGTACAGAGTTAATAGACTTTTAGATGAATAAATTAAATAGATATAAGTAGAGAAAATACTCCTGATGTCCTGCTGATTGCGCCACTTCCGAACCATTGATTCAGAAATTCCGTATTCCCTCGCTATCCCTCGATTGTTGTTAACAGCTTCAGCTTCAACTACGATTTTCAACTTGAAGTTGAGATCGTAAGAATGACGGCGAGTGTTTGGCATGATTGTGCTGAGAAAGTAAATTGGCGACTACTGATTTTTTTGATCGAATTGTTTTTATACTTTAAAACTATGTTTCCCGAGAGGGAAGGCTAAAAATTAATATGTACCGATAGGTACCGGTAGTCACATCATTAAATGTGTGACTTTTTTTGCCTTTTGTTTATCACTGTGATTAAATGTGTGACATTTTGCTTTTGTTTAATCAAGGCTTTTGTTTGTGAGCGTGGTCGCGTGTGCGACAATTCTGCTTTTATTAATTAACTGTAAAATAAAATCAATACGCGACTTTTTCGCTTTTTTGTAAGTTTATGAAAGAATTTACAATAAACTTGACCGATCTTTACTTCCCAAACAACGATGCACCTTATAACCGAGAATTTTAGCGATATTTTCAGTTTGAAAACATGCAATGATTTACTTGCTCGAATTCTACTGAGGAATATTGGCCATCCGTTGTTTTTGTAAGGAACTCAGGAAAATGTTCTCTTGCCTGTCATTAAGCAGAGACAAAGCTTTGTCAACGACGATTTTTAACTTGAAGTTGAGATCGTAAGAATGACGGCGAGTGTTTGGCATGATAGTGCTGAATATAGACTTCGCAAGATAAGGTGAAGTAAATTTGCGACTACTGATTTTAAGGATCGAATTGTTTTTATACTTTAAAACCATGTTTCCCGAGAGGGAAGGCTAAAAATTAATATGTACCGATAGGTTGTCATTAAATGTGTGACTTTTTTTGCCTTTGTTTATCACTGTGGTTAAATGTGTTTCATTTTTCGGCTTTTGTTTATGTGTGTGACGCTTCAACGACGATTTTTAACTTGAAGTTGAGATCGTAAGAATGACGGCGAGTGTTTGGCATGATAGTGCTGAATATAGACTTCGCAAGATAAGGTGAAGTAAATTTGCGACTACTGATTTTAAGGATCGAATTGTTTTTATACTTTAAAACCATGTTTCCCGAGAGGGAAGGCTAAAAATTAATATGTACCGATAGGTTGTCATTAAATGTGTGACTTTTTTTGCCTTTGTTTATCACTGTGGTTAAATGTGTTTCATTTTTCGGCTTTTGTTTATGTGTGTGACATTTTGCTTTTGTTTAATCAAGGCTTTTGTTTGTGAGCGTGGTCGCGTGTGCGACAATTCTGCTTTTGTTAATTAACGGTAAACTAAAATCAATACGCGACTTTTTCGCTTTTTTGTAAGTTTATGAAAGAATTTTCAATAAACGTGACCGATCTTTACTCCCCAAACAACGATGCGCTTTATAACCAAGTATTTTAGCGATATTTTCAGTTTGAAAACATGCAATGATGAAGTTGCCGAATTGGGGGCGCGTCTTATAGCCGAGTGTGCCTTATAACCGAATAACTACGGTAGTATGGAAGTAATTACCAGCACTGATCTGGTTCTTACTTGTTCTGCACTTTTACATGGAGACCGTTTCCTGTGAAACGATCATAATCCATGTATTTTTGTTTTGAAAGGCACCAAATTTAAAACTAGAAAGTTTAGTCCAATTGCAATGTAATGAATCACTTGCTAACTTTACTTGCTCGAATTCTACTGAGGAATATTGGCCATCCGTTGTTTTTGTAAGGAACTCAGGAAAATATTCTCTTGTATGGCCCTCAGGCTTGGTAAGAAGTTATCATTTGCAGTTATGGCTGGATTAATATGCTGCAAATTTACATTTATAAAATGAATGAGAGACAGTTGATTTTCATCATATTTTATATTTTTAATAAGGTTGACGTGGTGAACATGGTTACCACATCCACCGTGTAGGAGTGGCCTCTCCCTCCTAAGTTGAAACACTTTTTATTTCTTTGATAGAAAAAAAATAAGAAATTAATTAAAAGTTGAGATAAGGCAATGCACTTGTTGAAAAAGGAATAACACTTTTCATTTTTCATGTTCAATTACATCATGAGTGACAAAAGAGTGCCAAATATTTTCCCATCCGACCCAACCAAACTCAGTCAATAAGCAGTTTATTATATGAACACTAACTCTTAAAAATTTCGACCCAAGTAGGACGCGATAGACGGGCATACAAGCACAAATCTTTTTTTTGTCTGTTTAAGCGCCAGAGTGTCGCATAAGAAGATTCATGACGCTGCGCGCCCACGAAGAGAGATGTTTTAGTTTCCTCAGAGGAACTAAAACTTTCTTAAATTCAATGTTATTGCATACATAGTGTAAGCGTACTTTTCCGTTGAACGGATGCTTCATATCTCCACCGTTATATGGCTTACTTCAAACCTTTATGGTTTCATACAATATATTTCAACCTCATTAACTAAGATCGTTCAGCATTGTTTAATTTGAGAAACTTATGATCACGCGTCAAAAACTAAAATCAATTCTATATTAAGACATATTAATCATGCAGAATATCCTTTACTGATGTCAGCAGAGGTGGCCCAAGCTCACATCTTGAGATTAGGCAAACGATTAGTTCATGAAAGCGTCACACGTTGTGTGACTCGGTGTTAAGTTACGAGAGTTGTACACGTTAAAAGGAGTACCATTGGTGAACCAAATATGGTCGATTCGAAGCTATAAAAGTGTGACGTGCAAATTAGATTCACTGCGGAGTAAACTGCTGATCGGTTTTCCATATCAGTTCATGAAAAGTTGATTATCGCGCACAGATAGCTTACCGTTTAAAGAAGGAAGCTTTAGTTTTACTGGTAGGGATCTTGTAATGAAATTCTAATTTTCGAAACGGATGGACACAGAAGCTTGAGGTTTCCTGTTAAAAAGTAATGAAATATGTTATTTTTACATGTTCAATTCCATCATTGGTCATTAAAGTGTGACGTACAAAACCAAAATTCATTCGGTTGAGTTGGAACGCTCAAGTCCTCTGAGCAAATGCTAACTCGCTCTCCATATCTCCCTCTCATTAATTCTCCCTTAGTATTCGATTTCCGTTTTGAATTTTCGAAAGTCGTATGGAAACTGGGCAGTTTAACTCTCACTACATGATCTTCTGCAAGATTGGAGATATATTTCTTATTGGTATTAACATTTTGTGAAATGAGAATTATTAGTTTACGTCTCGTACATAGTGAATCGCGTTAGGGAAAAAAACATACCATTTTGATCCTTTACTTGATCGTATTTGATAATTGTTCTCAGCGGACTTTGTTAAATACTTTTGATCACAGTTTTCATTTTTCCTAATCACAAATTGGCACCCCATTGAGACCCTCCCTCTACTACAGTGCGCCCATAATTCTCAAATGCGACTTGTTTGGCTTTGACCGTGTAGCCTTGGAAAACGAAATTTCCCCGAATTTCGAGAAATCAGGTAATGTTGACATAAATACTAAATTAAACGGGAAGCAAGCTTGTCAAGCTTTCAATTGTTTGTTATTTTTCAAAGACAAGGAAGAACCTAAGCCATATATCATTTTTATCATTCAAATGATCGCTGGGTGTTAGTGCCCTCTAGTTGCAAGTTTCTTGCGATTGTCTGAGGTAAAGAGGAAACAAAAAGGTTGAACAGCGCGAATTGCCGTTGGGAGTTTTCAGGAAAGTCCCTTCCGAATGCGTGGATCTTACAACGTAACTGTAGTGAAGTCCATTTCCCCCACCTCTCTCCCCTCCTCAAAACAAAATATAACTATCAAGTATAACTATTGATTATTACTGAACGTCAAGCTACCTCCTCATTTGCTTGTTGCCATATTTCAGTCATTGGATTAACGCCTTCAAAGGTAAGACCAGTGATGTGGTTATGTTCGAGCAAATTACCGGTCCACTCCGTCCGTTTTCTTTTTTTTTTTATCTATTATATCAGTTACTATTTTTGCCTTCGATCTTGCAAATCACATCCGCAAGAAAGTGAAAAGTTCATACAGTGGGTCAGTTTTCACGCACAGATAGCTTACTGTTTAAAGACAGAAGCTTTAGTTGTCGCTCAATCTTATCGATCTCGTGATGCAAATCCTAACGTACTAAAAGGGATGAACACTGAAGCCTGACGTTTTCGGATAAACAGAGTAAGATGTGTCATTTTTGGATGCTCAAATCCATCATTAGTTAGAAAAGCGTGACGTGCCAAACCAAAATAAAGTCACTAAGTTTTGTTGGTATTTTTGGCTTCGATCATGCAAATCACACCCGCTAGAAAATGAAAAGTTCACGAAGGCAATTAGTCCATTATCACGCAAAGATAGCTTAGCGTTAAAAAAAAAGAAACTTAGGTTGTGCTGTGATCTATCTTGTGATGAAAATCAAACCTTTCAAAAGGGTAAACACTAAAGCCTGACATTTCCTATTAAAAAAAG